AACTGAGACCTTGCAGGGGAAATGACTTTCCAAGGACACAGAGGAAGGTAGTGACAGACTAGACCCCAGGACTTCTCACTTCAGGTCCACCAGTTTCCCACCAAACCATGTTGTCTTCATTAGCACGTTCATAGGGGTTAGTTTAACGGATTGCTTTCCAGCCTGATTATCAAATAAGAAAGAACCACAGGTCAAGGACAGGTTGGCTCTGTTGCAGGAGGTGGTAGAAGGAAGACTGAGCTAGGAGAGCACAACTCAGTCAAGGGCCTTATGGGGAGTTCTGGGCAGTTAGGGATGTGGGCATTGGTGTTATGGGGGTAGGGGCAGCAGGGGCAGGGGGTGGGAGACAGCGCACCCCAAAAGGAAAGAAACAGGGACCAGAAAAGGGAGGTGAAAGGAAAAGGCAAACTTCATCCAGTACTACTTCTCCTTCCCTTTAGTTCTATATGGATTTGGAATGTTTAGGAACAGGATTTTGTCCTATAATAACAAAAATGCTTTCCTGGAAGTTAAGAAGATCCGTCGACTAGCTGTGTGGTCTTGGGCAAGTCATTTAACTTCTCTGAGACTCAGTTTCCTCATCTAGAGTAGTAATCCCACCGACTGGGAGTGAGGCACTGTGAAAGGCTCTTTATACCTGTTATTTCCAATCTTCCTGGCAACCCTTCAGCGATTTCTCATTTATACAGATGAGAAACTTTAGACTCAGAGAAGGTAGTAACTGTCCAAGAATACATAGCAGATCGTGGCAGGGTTTAGTCTTGAGCCCAGGTTAGTCAAATTTTAGGGCTAAGACTTGGTTTTCCTAGGCCTATAATATTCTGTTACGTAGAAGGCAAGGCCAGGTGATCGTCAAGATCCTTCATGCGCTAAAATTCCAGGACTGTGACTCTGCTGAATCTCTGAACCCCATTTAAGTCAGCTGCTCTCTCTGAATACTGTGTGGATCTTTTGAGCAATTCTAGCCAGCTGAGGTCCTGATGTCTGTTCTATACAAAACTTAACACATCGTGGACCTTCCAGAAATGTTAAAGAACAGGGTCAGACAAATAGCATCCCTGGTCTTTGGGGAATAATACCCCATCTCTGAGGGCCACTCCATTCATACTCTGAATGTAAGCTCTCACTTAAAGCCATAATGTGCAGAAGAATTTACCCTTTTTCACAGAGTGCAGTTTCCTAGCCTAATTGCTAATGGGTATGTTTGGGTGTTCGAGAAACTAAACATCATCTCAGATTCAAAAGTAATTTAGTCTATCTTTCTAGGCAATGGAATGATTATCATTCTCTAAAGATGATATCCATGTTGGAATATCCTAAATACGTGACCATTTACCACCGCTTGATCTTGCTGATATCCATCTTAGGCATGCTCTGCTACAGCTTAAACATGTATCCACTTGTTGTCCACATGAATGAAAAAGATATATTTTTCATTCAACTTGGAAATGCATTTCTTTTCCTTTGTGGCAGCTATTTATAAATTTTAGACTGCAATACTGGGCCTGTCTGTTTTTGCTTTACTCTAACTTGCTGACATATGTGATCATCATCCTGCCTCCCTGCTTTCTGTTTTAGATTTAGAATTTTCCCTAAATAACTGCTCCAGAAACTGGCAAAGTTACCTAATTAGTGATTACACTTTGCAAATGAAGAACAGCATTTCCCAGCTAGTTGACTCAGTTAGTTAGAGCAGGATGCTAATAATTAGGCCAAGGCCACAGGTTTGGGCTCTGTGTGAGCCAATTAGCAAGTGCAGGCATCTCACAAAGATGTGCCTGTGGTCCCAAGAAGGACATGGTGAGAATGTGGTTGTCTCAGTATAGACCCATGCTTACTCTAAGGAAACAATTTTGCTATTGATTCAGTAACATCACACTGGGTGTGCAGCATATCTTAAAAGGGAAGGGAGAGAGGGAAGAAAGAAAGAAGGGAGGGGAAAAAGAGAGAATGAGTAAGAAAGAAAACCAACAAATAATAGTAGACAAGTTCATGGAGATAAGTAGCAAAGGAAGAATAACTGAAGGAACCAGAACCTGAAGCATGGCATGACCTTTAATCAGGACTTACTCCTTGCAGTCTCTGAAGCAGCTTTGTCTTTACCTGCCCAGTGGATCTCACAATGCTGATGCACTGCTTTAATTTGGGAAGCCTTTCCCTTGAGAGGAATGTCTTTTCTTGCTTTAAGTCTAAAGTGCTCCCAAGTGTGGCATTCTCCGTGACAGATGTACTACAGTTATGCTTTAGCTGACTCCAAACCCATAGCTTCCCAGTGCCTGAGTGGTCTATTTGGTGAGCAAGAATGTGTTTCCTTTGAGAGCAGGTCTTTACTGGAATATCATCCAAGAAGGTAGGGAGGTGTAGTCCCTTTGTTCTAAAACAGCGATTGTTAAATTCTGGAACCCCACCCCCACCCCAGGGCTATTCTTTCAGGAGATCTAAAATGCGTTTTCTGATGTACATAAATACCCTAGACCAGCCCCACGGAAAGGCACTAAGACAGACTTAACAGTCCTTTCTAATCTTCTCTTTAGGTTTTTCATTTTCATAGAAGGAGACCAGATTTGCGGGCAAATCTCCCATCCATAGCTTCACTTACAGGAGTCTCCGGGTCTTGTTGACACCATCAAACATGTGACTGGAAGAACCAGCCAGCTCCATACATGTCCCTCTGTGAAGATTTTGCCTGCCTGTTTCTCACTGATGATCACTGCCATTCCTCTCTGAATTCTGACCTTCCCACCATCAGAAGCCATTCTTGAAGAAAGGCAGAAACATGGCCACCAGCCATATCTGTTGGAGCATGTGCCACTTGTCTTCTACCAGGAGTCTCAGCTCCTCCTGCCAGCACTGATGTCTGCTAAAGGAGGCATTACTTCTCTAACTCTGCTCTTGACCATCCAAGAAGGAGGAATTTATTTTCATCTACCAGACAGCTTGCATTATCTCTTGGTGCCCTGATTATTCAGAAAGTCTTAGTGAGAAGACTTTTCTCATTGTGCTTATACCTTATTAACAGCTCTTATGTTAAAAGTATACCAAAGCTTACTGCTGTTTAAAGTCACCCTCTAAAGTTAAAGAAAATTCCCCCTTTGGACTTAACACTTGATTTTTGACATTTTTACTGGAGATGTCAGTCTAATTAATTCCATTGCCCAAAACCTAAGGGGGTAAAAAAATGAAGTGTTTTGTTTTTTCATACCTTGTGTTTACTTATTGTTGTTTTTATTGTAAATATATCACTTGGCTTACTTTTCTCTTAGATAGCTTTCTGCCTTGAATTTGTTCATTAATGTCAGTTAATATTTATTTAGTAAAGGGAAGACAAAGCGTGGATTAATTCATTTATAGTAATACTCAGCATGGTGCTATGGCATAATCCCAGACCAGCTGCCGTTGAGTTGATTCCAACTCATGATGACCCCATGTGTGTCAGAGTAGAACTGTGCTCCACAGAGTTTCCAATGGCTAGTTTTTTGGAAGTAGATCACCAGGACTTTTCTTCTGAGGTGCCTCTGGTGGACTCGAACCTCCAGCCTTTTGGTGAGCAGCCAAGCGTGTTAACCATTTGCACTACCAGGAACACCATGGCAAAATAGTTATTAATAAATTAACTGGGTTTTTTGGTTTTGTTTTTAATTTTATAAAAACTTTTCAAAATGCGAAGAGCAGTATAATCCTACAATTTGGTAAATGGGCTTATACATCTGAAAATGTTGACATACTGAAGACAATCTATTCCTTAACTTCCTAAGCAAGAAGTGATCATCACAGTAAGTTCATACCAGGCTTACAGAGGAGAAGGCAGGGCCTGAAACATCTGTTACCACCACCACCTCTACCAACCCCACTCCCTACCCCCACCAACCCCCCACCCACTACTCATCACCCCCCCCCCACCCCCAACCCCATCCCCCCCACCCACTACCACCCTCACCCTCCAAGCCATGGTGACACAGATCACGGGGCAGAGTGTCTTTTTCTAGTGCAACAGCTTTCAATAATTGGAGTATATTGGGTTGGTAGTGGACCTAGACACAACAAAATTTCCTTACCTTTTTTTTGTTTTTTAAGGGGAGGTGACATTATATATTGCTGTTGTCATCCAAACCTCTTCTAATTTTCTTTTTAAATAGTGTTCTTTTTTTTAATACAGAAAAGTATAAGGAAGAAAATAAAAAATGTCCATCATCCCATTTTCAGAGAATCCCTCTGCACATTTAAAAACAAAAGTAGTATATTTTTATGACTTAAAAATTCGATCATTATAGATAGGAACAAAATGAAAAGCAAGTGCTTCCTTGGTTTTATTTGTTATGAGATTTCAGACTCTAGTTTTCCTGGGGATAGGCCCAGATACGTCCCTAAGAAGACACCAGATTTAAGAATAAAAGAACATTTGTCAAGAGAAATCTGGAAAATGACAAGGGTGATAACACACAACATATAATGCTCCTTGTAAAAGTCATCACTGGATATTAACAGAAGATGTCAGAAAAGCTCTAAAACTCTAGAAAAGTAATGACCTATTAGGAAGTCAGAAAAGATAGGACAGCTTTAATGGGCGTGTTTGAAGTTATCCTGAAGACTGCAGAGAAATGCTTCATCTTGTTTTTCAGGATTGATGGAGAAGTTATAAATAAGAAAGCAGCAACACGCTCCTTTAAGACCATGTGTCCATGTATAAAAAGTAAATCACAGAGATTGGGGGTCAGCTGACCATACCAAAGTGAACTAAATGCATAATTTTTATATGATCAGTATTCTTGACCAGTTAATACACCTTTATAAAAATGTTAATAGCTTTAAGTGATCCTTAAGATAGTCTTCTGGTAATGAGTTTTATCATATAGACTTTCATAATATGACAGGTATGTATTAAATCAATACTAGAATCCATATCTTCTCACCCTTGAGTAGTAAATCATAGTTTGTGTCTTGTCCGCTCATTTAAAGGAGGTACATTGTGTTTCATCTCTGGTGATGCTTTCTTTCCACAGGCCATGAAAATGCCAACACCTTCTAGAGCTACAAAAGTACCATGGGAATTTGACTTTTATATTTATAATGGCATCATAGACAAGACAGCTCCAGACTTCTTAGCATTTAAACGACATTTTAATTTAGCTTGGGGAAGTATTTTTTCTCTCTTGGAACACATCGAGAAGTTTCTCAAGGACTATGCAATACCAGAAGTCAAAATAAAAGGGAACAGTTTGGTAGCCCTCCTTCCAGAGTTTGAGCTGAAGAATAGACTTACCAGGTATGACCTTCTCTCAGTGATAGAAGACCCAGTTCACATCCAGATGATGTTAAATGTTCCAGGTCAGAGGTACAAGGGCCAAGATGGAAAGTTAGAAGCCGTCATCAAGATCCAAGCCACATGGAAGTGCTACAAAGCAAGACAATTCTTCCTCATTTACCGAAAGCAGAAGTGGGCATCAGGTGTGATTGCCATTGCTTGGCTTTTACATTGCCATAAGACTCGACTGAGGAAGATCCTGAAGGAATCACGTCAAAGACACCTGGAGAATTTCCACATTCGAGCCAAGGTGCGCAAGGCTGCCAGCTGTTAAGGCAGACCTCTTTTTCTAAACATTTCTTGCTTGAGCGGTTGCAATAAGTTGGCTCTTTATCTTCCCTTTCTCCAGCTACCCTCCCCTTCAGCCTCCTTTGCCTTTCACTCCCCTCCAATCATACATTTGCTTGTGCATCATATTTTAGCCCTAATCAGGAATCTGGCTTTTTCGGCTGCAAAATCTGTTGCAACTATTTCTATAGAAAAAAAGTCCCTTCATGTTGAGAATGGTAGTTCTGTCAGAAAATCAATGTTTTAACCGCATTACCTTTTCTCCCTATATATACCTTCTGGCACTTCAATTTGCAAGGAAAAAAAAATCCTCTCTTGTCTACATTGCTGTCACCACTTTGTCAGAAAGTATTTAAATTTGCAGACAGCCTTTTAATTAGTGCTCACAATTTCATTTATGTTTGCTTTCTCTTTTTTTCATTCATATTCTGTTAATTAAGTGAGCTGCGTCTAATCTTCCCCTGCCAGTAGCATCATGTAGCCACCTAATTAAATTAATTGGGGAAGATGTTTTAAGTATGTAATTAAATCAATTAATATAATTTATGCCTGGCTTAACTGTACAGTGGAAAAACAGCTGAAGTTTGACTAGATGAATCCAGTACAGCTTCCTGTCACTGATCAATGCTCTTCTTGATTTTTAGCATCTGGCAGCCAACTGGAATCGCATCAGGACTTCCAGGAGGACTATTATCCATATCCCATCATTAGGTATAACACTTTTGCCTGCAAATCTATCAGCAACCTCTATTACCCACCACATTATGGCTCCTTGATTGAGTTCAAGGAAGGCCCCTTGTTTTATTCAAATTGGTCTCGGCAGGAAAATGTTCTCAACATGATGAGAGTAATAACACAGGGCCCTCGCTCGAAACGGCGTTTAATTTGGGGATTAAGCAAATAAAGTCATTATGTGGGGGCTGCTATTCAGTGGAGAGGTGATTTGCTGTAATTCGCTTTCATCTGTATGAAATGAACTAAAAAGTTGTATTTTTTCCCCCTGAAATAACAGATAATGTTTTCAATCTTCTTTAATGATAGAAGAACACAGGCTTGTGTGTGTTGTTGCTGTTATGCCAGTAAGCCAGGATATTGCTTGTACACTGTTTTTAATCAAATGTGCAGTCAAAATGATAAGCTACATTCTCTGAAATTATTTAGTTCTAATTACGAGCAGATGGGATGCTTTATTTGCACCTAGGGCGTCTGAGCAAAAGGAAATGCTGTGTGAACAAGAATAATTAAGAAGTTGAATAGTGTTTTTTGCGCTTAAATAATCTGCAGTTTCATGTTAATTAGCACTAATGTAATTATTTAATTACATTTATGAATTGAGAAACTTAAAAGCTGTTGTCTGCAACACAGTGGTAAAATAGGTATGCCAAAAGGACATTGGGAATTTCAGAAATTTGCACTGGAAGTTCTTTTAAAAGATGAGCTGCTGTCAAAATGTTTAGGATTTGTTTGTTTGTTTTTTAACCTACCTGTTGTGTTAATTATCCTTGATGAGGACACGTTTCTCAGGCTCACTTGGTAGAGTTTTGACAGACAGCAGAACTCATTGACTCTCCAGATTATATATTATCTCTTTGTTTAGGCCTTTTAAGTAGAGCAGGGCATTAAGCGATCTATCGTAATAGAGTTCTGGATTGCAATTTATTTGTGCTCATGTGCGAGTAAACGTGTTTGTGTACTGAAATGTAGTATAGAAACACAAGATATTTAAACAGTAATGTGAAAAGCAAAAAGACATTATTCTATGAATATAATTAAGATTATTTTTTAATTAGTGAAATATTAATAGTAAAAAAGTAATGGAAATTTTCCCAGATTCTAGAGTACTTAAAACCTAAGTACTTGTAGAAAACTGAAGAAAATACTTGAGCTGCACAGAACCTTTTAGTTTTGGTCTTCTTTATGGCTCAGGGAAGAAATTAGTTGTTTCTTAGGATGTAAGTAAGGTAAGACAGATCTGAATTTCATTCTAACTTAAGTTTTTGTTTTGGTGGGACTGCTTTGCACACCAAATTAGTTCACACACAGAAATTGCACTTGTAATTGATTGCAACCAGAGAGTCTAATTGCAGACCCAATTAACTGACTCAAGTCCTTAGAATAAGGTGCAAGAGCCTTTTGCTTCTGCAACTAATTGTGGACCTTACCTGATATTATGTGGGAAACTTGGTTTTGCTGTCTCCATTGTATTCAAAACTAGAAGAAACAAATAGAGTTTTACAGTGTTAAGCACAAAAGTATTATAGACACAGTTTCCACAAACTTCTTCCCTCCCATGCCTCCACCTCTGACCCTTCGAAAACCTCCATGCAATCAGCCCTGCAGAGACGCCTGATACAAAGGAGTCTCCAAAAATTTTGAAAGTAATGGTTAGCAACCTAAACTGGGTAATCAAAAATAATTTTAAAGAAAATGTATTAAAATCTCAAAATGTTTGCTGAATATAAATTAAGTGGGAGAGTAATCTGGTCAAAGAAACTAGAATTAGAAAGCATTATTTTAAATCTGGTTTGAAAACTAGTTTTCTTCTAGATTACACATACTCAATTTAAATAAATACATAGTAGATAAGAAGTTCTTCCCTATTACAGTAATTTTGTTTGTTAAAACATAATACCCATTTTAAAGAAGAACTGATAATTATGTATTTTCTAAAAGATTCAACCAAGCTCACATATTTTTCTCAACTGAGCATTTAAAAAGCCCAATTATACATTTTCACAAGGGAATAATACTTGGGCTTTGATCAAATAGTATTTGTTATGGTTTAGGTTTTATAAAATGACTTGTAAAGATTAAATTTAGTTTAAATAACATTAAACCATCATCTTGTACCTATTCCACAGACAGAATTCTCAAATTATGCCTTTTTTTAAACTATTATGGAGTACGTTTTTCTTATGTACCACTTCCCCTGGGAATACTTCAAGAGGATTTCAGCTAGATATAGCACGGCTTCTTTGTCTCATGCACCAGACACTTCAGAGACTTACCTACAGAATTCATGAAAATTGAAGTGGGTGTATGTGAAGTAAATATTTTCTCTACATATGTTGCAAAAAAATTTCTGTTCAGTGTAATGATTTTATTTCCAGAGTTTGTTTGCAGAATTTGTTTCTGGGAGAAACTTGGTCAGTAGGATTGTAAGGTTCAGGTGGGCATTTAATACAAGTTGCAGCCCTTTCTCTTTTCCTCTTTCCATAGGAGCTTTGTAATCAATTCTGCTATAGAATTAACCCTAGAAATAATTACACCATGCCACTAGCCAGTTGGGGCTACACTAACTTGTTTGAACCCTGGAAGTGAAAGCCATGTAGCTGATAACTGCATAATATATTGCAGTTGTAGGCATTTGGTTATTTGTTTTGGACACAGTTGTGCACACACAGGAATAGTTGCGTTCTCCAAGCCAGCAAACACAAAAAGGATGGCCTTTCAGTCACGTTTTTGGCCACAAAATATTTATAATGTGTTTTTTAAATCTATAGCTTGATGATATGAATATTAAAACAATTACACATTGCAGAGTAATCTCTTTGAGAGGAGGGGTTATGAAACTTGCTTGACTCATGTATTTCAGGCAGTATTTCTAGACATAACGAAACATTTCTGCTGTTTTTAACCCACAGGTTAGGTAGGATGCTGTTGACTAATCATCCAAAGAAACCAATTGGCCTTGTAATTTTATAAGATGATAAAAAATTATGCTTTCCAGGTTATATAGGCTGATCTCTTAATTGGATATTGCATATCTTTATCATTGTTATTAATGAAATATAACAAAATAATCTACCGCAGTTCATAGCAGGAATAGAATATGAGGGTCTATTTTAAGCAAGATCTATCAGTCAAGTAAGAAAGAACTGCGACAAAGAATTTTAATTCCTCTAGAAAAATCAGAGGTCTAAAAAAACCCCTAAAAACTAAGTCACGCAATAAATAAATAAAAAAAAATAAAAATTCTCCTTCCCGTTTCTTTGGCCAAGTTATCCTCCACTTTAATTTAACCCCTGTGCTTCTTTATTACAGTGCGTCATTTGGTGCTGCACTTAAACTCAGTGACATTTTTCAATATACTGACATTAAATGAGATGTGCCAAGTATGAGGCTCTGATGCTGTGAGCAGGTATATGAGGCAGCTGCCAGCCAATTAAACCCCTAGTGATTAGTTTTCCTTCTCAATTCTCTTTGTCCTTTAAGAAAAAAAAAAATAGGTGACGTTGTTTTGAGGTGGGATTTTTTTCCTCTTTATATAGTCTTTTTCATTGCCAATTGATTTAATGGCTAAAAAGAATATATATATATACTTCAGCTTCATTCTTTTTTCCTCTGTGTGTTATTTTAACAAATTAACCTTGGGGATAGCATAATTAATGGTCTCCAAAATATTCCATTCCATAAAATGTAGGATCCTGTCATTGTGAGGTTCACAAAACCAACATTTTTCATCTGGTCTATACTGTCACAAAAGCCTAAAAAAAAAAGCTAGAAGAACTTAATTGTGTGCACAACTGACCATACACTGAACTGAGAAAACCCCAAATGCTCAGGAGACAAGTTGCTTCCTCACCCCACTCTGTTCCCCCAGAAGATGAGAACTTGGGCTCCCCTCCGTTGTAAACAGGGCAGAGTGGAAGACGGAAGCCAAGAGTATTGTATCTGAAATCACATTTTGACTCTGCCTCCAAACACACTGACACATTTTTACTTTCTCATCTTTGAGTTGACTACTCATAGACAAGATACACTCTATTCTTTCCACATCAGAGCTGGGACATCAAGACTTTCAATCACATCTTTGCAGTCTTCAACGTACGTTTTGGCGGGTAGTATCCTGGATTCCATAGTTTCTGTATGGTGTTGCTACACTAGATCCTTGGGGCAGATGTACTGCCAAGACCTCCCGGGCAGAATTTTCCAGAAATATCCAGATCTTTTAAGACCAGGAACAAGGTACACTTAAACTTTCAAGTTTCCTTATGGCCCAAACTAAAATCAAAGCATATTTTATTCATTCAAGTAATCCAAATGGATGCTCATTCACTGGGGAGTTCAGAGCTGGCCCTGTGACCCTGTCATGTAAAATTATCCAGTTAGTCCTGAACTATCTGATGTTGTACCAGGAAATACAGAAACAGCATTGAACTGGGTATAAAGGGACACCAGCTTATGGGCTTTTCATGAAATTGATTAATGTTAGGATATGCTCTAAAGAGAATATCTCATATACTGAGATCTCTGTCATCTCCATTCTTTTAAAAATATTGAAAGGTTTGTTCAGTGGTTCTCAAACTTGTTTGGTCTCAGGACCACTTTACACCCTTAAAAATTATTGAGGAGCCTAAAGAGCTTTGGTTTAAGTGGATTATATCTATTGATATTTATCATATTAGAAATTAAAACTAAGACATTTTAAAAATATTTATGAATTCATTTAAACATAGTAGTAATAAACCTACTATTAATATTACCTAAAACAGATTTTATTAAAATTTTATATTTGTATTTTTAAAATATTTTATATTAGCCTTTTATATACAGCAGTTTATAACGTTTGTATTTTCTTAAACAAAAAAAAATTAGTGAGAAGAGTGGCATTGTTTACAGGTTTTCAAATCTTTTTACTATCTGGCTTAGTAGAACACAGGTGGATTTTCATATCTGTTCCTGCATTCAGTCTGTTGCAATATGTTGTT